CTTTCTTCAAAAATCTCTCTCCAACCTCTCTTTCTCTCTCTATACCTTTCTCCCTTATTCTCTCTCTAGATTTCAGCAGAAAATAAAAGAATTGTGTTAATAAAAATGGAAAAAAAATCAATGAATTCTTCTCAAGACGTCGAAGTTAGAAAAGGGCCGTGGACGATGGAAGAAGACTTGATTCTTATAAACTATATTGCAAATCATGGTGAAGGTGTTTGGAACTCTCTTGCTAGATCTGCAGGTAATTTTTAACGTTATAATTTTAATGGTTTTTAAATAAATCTGATGTTTTAATTATTACTAAACCCTAGTTTTGTATTTTAACTAATTGTTTAATTAGGTCTTAAAAGAACTGGAAAAAGCTGTCGACTTCGATGGTTAAACTATCTCCGTCCCGATGTAAGGAGGGGTAATATTACACCCGAAGAACAACTTCTGATCATGGAGCTTCATGCTAAATGGGGAAACAGGTACGTATTTCATTTTTCGTCCATTAGTTTAATTAAAAATAAACCTTGATCATCTGGCTAAGATAATTACGGATTTTTGGTTCTCTCTCTACATATATATACATGTGCATATGTATATATGTATATATAGTATATATATATATATATACACAAAGACTTGATCGTATTGCTTTGTTCCTTATTTATGCAACTTCTAATAATCCATTAGTTAGGGTTGGCAAACAGCATTCTTGCCATATTAATTTTAAGTTTTTTCGTGGCTACAAATAAATTTTTATTGTTTTTTCTTTGGTTTTAGTTTTTTAATTTACTATCTATGTGTAATCCACTTTTCACCGATGGGTTTTTATTTTCTTCTTGTCACGAAAAACGTAAAGAAAAGGTATGTTCATAATTAATTTAAATCATGAGGAATATTTAATAATTAATTATTTAATTAAGCACACTTTGAATCTACAATTAAGTTTAATCAAGTAATTAAAGAATGGACTTAGAAAAGATTCTTTTATTAACACCATAAAACAAAATAGTAATAATAGGTTTTGTAGCTTGCATATCAACAGCTTCGGTTCCAAATTGAAAACTCATAAAAAGATCAAACAGACAAATAAAGAAATCCCATTTTTGGAAGTAACCCTTTTTAATCCATCACGTGTTTGAATTTTATCGATCTCATTTAAAATTACGTTAGAATTGACAGATTCCATATTCTTTTGGCTCAACAATACAATGTGATCGTGCTTCACCGTTTACTTTTAGGGTTCTATGCTGGTGTGCACTGATTATAATTAATCTTTTGTATCGTCAGAAAAAATCCCGAAACTTTTTTGAGATTTTAGTTATATAAGAAAAAAAATAATGTGCATTCGATTTTTTATCTGAAGTAGTGATCGTTCACGAAATTCTTGGTAGTAGAATTGAACGAATGAGTTACAAAAACTTTAGATGTAATTTCTAAAAATACAAGTTTAAGGACAAATAAAACAGTTTACATGTACTAGAAAAAACACCTTAGATGTAATACTTGTAGTGAAATACTTAATTATAAAAAGTATATTAACACAGAAATTTATTTTTTTGAAGAGACGTGTCTTTTGTTTCTAAAAACATTTTTTTTAAATTCTTTTACTTACCAAAAAAGATGTAGCTTTTTTCTTCTCTAATCTCGAACGCATCGATGCTCTTGTCGAATGAATCTTCGTGCCATTGTCAAAACGAATCTTGAGTTATGAACTTTAGCAAAGAATTTTAAAAGATTAAAAAATTAGAAAGGTTACCTTTTTTTCTGAAGTCCTCCCTATATTTACGAGATAAATTGTGAGTCGAGTCTCCTTTAAATATACATCGATTCAAGATAAAGTGATTTTTGCCCATTCAAAACGTGGAACATGATGACTTTTAATTTCCATCGTGGAACATGTTTCATGTTTGGTTGTATATGAGTCTTAATTATCAAATGTACATCCTATCATCTTTTGTGGGGCATCATACCTATCTCGGTTCCTGGAAAAGTAAATCATATTTACATAAATAAATAAGTTTTTATTATATTTTCATAATTTGTCATTCAAATATAATATACATACATATATACGATGTCGCTAGACAAATTAACATAATATAATCTGTAAGTTCTCTAAGTTTATTTCTATTTGTATGTAACCTTTAAAGTTATAATGGTTTTGTAGATGGTCAAAAATAGCAAAACATCTGCCTGGAAGAACAGATAACGAGATAAAGAATTACTGGAGGACAAGGATTCAAAAGCATATCAAGCAAGCCGAAAACTTTAGTGGACAAACTTCTTCAGGACATACGGATCAAGCAACCACAAGCTCAACACAAACATGCAATGCACTAAATCCGATGGAAACGTATTCCCCACCCTACGACAATTTTCAGAATTTTTCAGGTCCATTTCCCACCGAAACAAATGAGAACATGTGGAGTATGGAGGATTTATGGTCCATGCAGTTACTAAATAGCGACTAAACCGTTTTACATTTAAAAAAAAAACATACCAGAGTCTTATAGATCTATATAGTATACATTTATAAACATATGAGTCGAAAAAAAATGAGAGTAAAAACTTTGTTTGACTTGTGTCTTTGTTTATATATATAGTCAAACGAGAAACATAATCATCTATATTTGGTCTTCCTTACGGACTCATGTATCACTATAACAGAGTTATTGAAGTCATTACATTTGCTTATACAATAAAACCACCGAATTAGTGTTCACTTATATCATGGAAAATATCCCAAAAATGATCTGATCTTACAGTAGGGCTATTTATTGTACATATTTTTTTGTAGAAATAAATGATTATATGTGTCTTAATTATATATATATAGATAAATACCTAAACCGTAACCTCCAAATAATAATTCATACTAAAAATACCAACATAAGATTTCCTCTAATCTGTATGATTTGATTGGTGGAAAAGTACACGATCCTTAAAAATCATTCTCATCACATAACCATTTCTGTTTGTTTAGTCATCTAAACTAAGAAGTTATATATTACAGATTTTTGTTAATTATTTCATTATTTTCTTTTAGTATTATCTGCTTTTATTGATAGTTTCTATGTTTGTTTAAACATACAAAGTTAATAAGGCTTAAATATGATCAATGTTAAAGATACAAATCAGTATTTGTTTCTTTTTTTTTTCCCTTCATTTTGGAAAATTTTATTAATGCTAATAATGGGTTGGCATCTACTTTACTAAACGACAAGTGAAGCTAAAGGAAAACATATGCCAAACTGAACCAATAACAAAGTGACAAGTGGAAAGATGTGGAATGATCTTGAATGCTATTTTGGGAAAGTTCAATCTTTGCTTTCTATTTTTATCCAAACTAATGCACGAGTTTTAGACTGTTGAAGGGCGACGTAAGCCTAACTTTTTCAACCTATTCAAGGAAAGTCTTCACATGCATTGATACCATTTTCTTCCCATGCCCTCAAAAGATTTAGTATTTACTATTGTCAAATCTAATATTCTCATATAATAAATCCGTAAAAGACAAACTGTCCTTAGAAATAATATATATTGGTAATGTCCTCATAAGATTTAGTATTTACTATTGTCTAATCTAATATTGTCATATAATAAATCAAATAAAAGACAAAGTGTCCTTAGAAATAATAGATATTGGTAATGAGTTTTTTATATTTTCATTTTAAATATATATTGATTTGATAAGTGAAAGTATCATATTAAGTGGTTGTACGTATCAGTCAATTGGTGGACCAACAAGTCAGTCGATTTGATTCCATCAACATGCAAAAAGGAGTTGCAGCTGGCAAAAGACATGTTCGCTAAGTCAATCCCGATATCCTAGTGATTGGGATTGACTGTATTTTAGATAAGGGTCGGTTTCCTTATCTATAAGAAGACTCCTTGATTTTTGGAGATTGCATTTCGAATAATTAGACCTAGTATATAAGGTTTGCTAAAGTTCATATTTTGTAAGTCTTCCTTTAGCCAACATTGTATGAGAGAAAAGTAATAAGAGTTCTCTGAATCGAAATAAGTTTTCGATTTATTCTCTTTATCTTTGAAGATTTTTATTGTTTTACTTGATTTTCTTGTTTGGATCATCCATGTGACATACAGGTGGTATCAGAGCAGACTTTAGAACCTTTTAACAGGTCTTTTGTGTTTCAATCAATGACATCTTCCAGTTCTTCAAACCTATCCTCCTCAAGCTTCAGGTCTCACTTAGTAAAGACATGTCATCTGTTTAACAAAAACAATTTTTACCATGTGGATTAGCAAGACAATGATGGTGTTGGAAACCATGGATTATCATATGATGGATATTCTAACTGACGGTCCGCATATCCTCATGTGAACCATAACTGAAGAAAATGAACCTCTACTATCAGTTTGTGGTCCTCATGGTGAATCGACTGAAGAAGATAAGAAGTTGGTCAATCTCGACGTAAGAGCAAGGGAAGCCAAATGTATTGCCCTACCATACAAAGTTTATCATATGATGGAGAACTGAAACTCAACAAAAGAAATGATCGAAACCCTAAATATGTCTTACGAAGGAACATAAGAAGTCAGAGTAAACTACAAGAATAGTTTAAACCGAAGCTATGAATACTTTTTTGCCTTAAAAATGAATCATTGAATCAAACATTCAAGCTATTTAATTATTTGATCAATGACATCACAAAGTTAAAAATCACCAAGTAAAATTATGTGTTAGTGCTTAAATTTCTTGGCTCTCTGGATGATAGTTGGGAGCACCATGTAGATGTTCTTAAAAACAAAGACAAGATTAAATACATGAATCTTCAAACTCTATTTGGAAACTTAAGGAACTATAAGCAAACCAAATCTCAGAGAACGGAAAATATCAAATACAGGAAGGAAGTTACCAAGGTAAAGTCCCCAACTTTGATTTCAAAGAGCAAGTTATTGAAGAATCAACCATTTCAAAAGATGAATCAGTTGTTGTTGATAGTGATAATGAAGAGATGGCCTCATTTGCAGAGTTGGCTTCCGGAGAAGGTCTAATTGTTAAGCAGTATAATAGCTTCAGAAACTCTAGGAAGAATTATAGAGATGGATCTAAAAATTTCTTAGGTATCTCACAATTAACTACTAAGAAAACCATATTTAAGGTTCAAGCTGGTGACAAATGCCATAAATATGGATAACCTGGACACTATTCCAGGGACAACAAAAGCAAAAGAGCTTATAAGGATTTGTATGAAGTGAAATGATAGAGGCTAGTTGCTTTCCTAAAGAGACAAAATTTAGATTCTAAGGAGATGAGAGTAAAAAAGGAGAAATGGGTAGCTGAAATAGAATCATCTGATAATGAGAAGAAAGAGAATAGTTGAAACATCCCAAAAATATAGTCCAAAATTTCGTTGTAAATCAGTAATAAAAACCATCAATATCATCCATCACATAAATGTCACAACCATGTATCTCAAAAATATCATAATATCTGTCAATGTATCAAAATCACATGTCAAAAATCAGAGTAAATCCTCCAAGGCTAGAAGTTGTGGTGTGTGGCATGCAGTCATCCCGAGCTCTTCCTCTTACTAGCGGAAGTATCTGAAACCAAAACTGAAAACTGTAAGCACGAAACTTAGTGAGTCTCCCCAACTACCACATACTATACACATATCTCAATAACATATCTTGGGCCCCGCCCCTGCTACATCGAGTCAGGCTTGACGTCGGCTTTCCCGGCATCGGGCCCCGCCCGACATCGAACCCTATTCGACATCGGGCCCCGCTAGGCATCGAGCCTCGCCCGACATCTAGCACATCTCAGAATACATATGAGCATAATCATATAATACACATAACCTAAGAATAAAACATTAACATTTAAACACTCCTCGGGCCTCGCCCGACATCGGACCGAAATCTGGTAACATACTAACATTACTCGGAACCGCCCCAGCATCGGACTGAAGTCCGGCATCATACAATACAAACACATGGAAGAATCACAAAGACATCAAGCATACAAGCATTCATCGGGACCGCCCCGGCATCGGATCAAAATCCGGAAAAGCATATAAACCTACATCAGGCCCCACCCGGCATCGGACCGTAGTCCGGAACTACTACTAACTAAACGGGCCAGCCTTGGTGACTTAGACTCGTTCCTACTGGAGAAAACTCACCTCGTATGCTAGCTGTGAAATCTCGTGTGAGGAATCTTTGACTGCTGTTCCGACGACTCCACGGCTATCAATTTCATAATAACACTTAATTAAAATTTGATAATCCTTCTTAGGGTAAAATGACCATTTTACCTATGGTCAAAGTCAACATCCTGGTCAAATTTAAAGTCAAGGTCAACTCCTAGCCGCCTCAACTCATCGAGCTACCTCCTAACTCGACGAGTTCCTACACTATTCAGACTCGTGGTCAACCAAGTCAACTCGTCGAGTCCCTTCACACACTAGTCGAGTTCCATCTACCATAGAATCGAGACAACCCGACTTCAACTCGTCGAGCACCTTTCTGGACTCGCCGAGTTCCACTGTCTGTTTGGGCTATCTTAAAGGATTAAGCCCCTACACTTCGGATCCAAGCTTCATACTTCACATAAACCCTAAAAATGTCCTTGTAAGGGTAAAGTTTATGTCTTTCCCCATTAATACCTCTTCTTAAAGGGTTTAGCTCAAACCCTAATTCCTTGGGACCTAGAACTTGGTCCTTAAACCATCCATACACCAAACTAAAGCTTACAACCTCAGATCTAAACCCCTAACACTACTTGGACACGTAAAGTTCCCACCTTTCCCCACATACATGGCCTTTTGGGCTAAAAAGGCCAATATGACACTCTATGGCTTGCATGGGGGCTCTAATGGCATAAACTTTGCACCTTTATGTGATAACAACCCCTCTAGGTCCTAGATCTGGAAGAATACCCACTTGGGTCGATCAATCTCCAAAAGCTATCATTCTTGGACCAAAAACTCACATAAGGAGAACATAAAGAGATCTAATGAATTAATAGCCAAGATAGAAACTTGATTACCAGAAAATGTAGCAAATGGAGTGTAATTTCTGGATCTACTCTTTTCCTCTTGAGCCCTTTATCTTCTTCTTCTTCCACAAGCTTCAAAAGCACACAAAGATCACTCAAAATGGCTTACACTCTCAAAGAAAGCTCTAGGGTTTCGTGGATTAGGGTTTGGGACATAGAGGCTGGAAATGAAGCCAAGGGGTGGGGGATAAGAGTTTAAATAGGGTGCAAAACCCCGAAATTAGGGTTTCACTCTGGCCGATCTACTCGCTGAGTCGAGGGCTCTTGACTCGTCGAATAGATAGCTTAAACCCCGCGCATATTCTGCCCTCTACTTGACGAGTTAAGGCCACCAACTTGTCGAGTTAACCTTCCAAAATAAATAAATAAATGAGTTAAATGCATACCAGGAACCAGGCATTGCAATTCTTCCCCACTTGTCTTAGACTTCGTCCTCGAAGTCTACTGCATCTGAAAACAACTCCGGGTAGTGCTCCCTCATCTCCTCCTCGGGCTCCCACGTCCACTCCGAACCTTTGCGGTGCTGAGATTTCACCTTCACTAACTGAACAACCTTATTCCTCAAGGTTTTCGTCTTGCGATCCAGAATCATCACTGGCCTCTCAATGTATTTCAAGTTGTCATCAACCTGAATATCCTCCAAGGGCACAGTCGCTGAATCATCCACTAAGCACTTATGAAATTGGGAAACATGGAAAGTGTTGTGGATCTGACTGAGCTCTGCTGGTAGATCCAACCAATACGCTACCTTGCCCACCCGGGCTATGACCCTAAAAGGACCAATGTACCTGGGGCCCAGCTTGCCCCGTTTCCGGAACCGGATAACACCTTTCCCAGGTGACACCTTCAGGAGGAACATATCGTCCACCTGAAACTCCAAGTCTGAATGCTGCTTGTCGGCATACCTCTTTTGCCGACTCTGAGCAGTCTGGAGCCTGCACCGGACCTGCTGGATCCGCTTTGTAGTCTTGAGTACCACCTCACTACTCCCCATGACTCTCTGACCGACCTCGCCCCAACATATTAGGGTCCTACACTTCCTCCCGTAGAGCATCTCGAAGGGAGGTCGGTCTATCCTGGCATGGTAACTGTTTTTATACGAAAATTTTGCTAACAGATGATACATATCCCAACTGCCACCGAAATCGAAAACACATGAGCGCAACATGTCCTCGAGAGTCTATATCGTCCTCTCGCTATAACCATCTGTCTGAGGGTGGAAGGCGGTGCTGAAGTGGAGACCAGTATCAATCTCCTCGTGAAACCTCTTCCAAAACCTGGAAGTGAAACGAATATCTCAGTCTGACACCACCGAGGCAGGCACTCCACGTCGTGCCATTATCTCGCGCATGTATATCTCGACTAGCTTCTCGGCCGAGATACTCTCCTGGATCGGAATAAAATGAGCACTCTTGGTCAACCGATCCACTATGACCCATATTGAATCTATTCCACGTGCGGTCCTGGGAAGCTTGGTAATGAAATCCATAGTGATATCTTCCCATTTCGACACGGGAATGTCCAACAGCTGCATCTTTCTGTGTGGGCGCTGATGTTAGACCTTGACCTTCCTACAGGTCAAGCACGGATCCACGTACCAAGCAACATCCCGATTCAAGCAGGGCCACTAGTAATCAGAGCGAAGATCCCGGTACATCTTCGTCGCCCCAGGATGGATGGAGAACCTCGAATTATGGGCCTCATCCACCAGAACCTACCACACTCCGCCCCAGTACGGAACCCAGACCCTCCCATGCAGGATCAACCTCGGCTGCCATAATCAAACGAGGCAACCCGGCCTAAGA